TCCTGAAATGGGCCAAAGCACTCTACCACAGCAAACAGCTACATTGGAGCTGATCTGCTAGTGCCTGCATCATCTTTTCCTGGAAATTCTGAAGGGATCATTGGAGAAAAATGGCATGCCCACTTCTGTCTCCTGCCCTTCCAGCCTCTTTTTACAGGGCACACCCTGGTTCAGCAAGTGTCTTCATGGGGTTTAGAGGAATGGGGCCAGCGACACAAGTCACTGACCACCTTCAAAAAAAGGTGGAAGATAAGCAAATAAATCTACTGGGAAAGGGGAAAGATGAGGAAATTAATTTATATTTCATAGGAGTAAGTTTCATAGAACAATAGTAAAATGTTTAATTTCAAGATGACATGCACTTACAATTATTTGCAACTGTGAGTCCAACAAATGAACAAATAGGACGAACTATCTCTGGCTCTATGCATCTATCTAGCCACTGTTTTGTCTGAGGGAAAACTGAACTGCAAATTTTCTGATTCTCTTCTGTAAACATATAAACCAAACAAAAACATCTCAATGCAATATGTGGTTTGAGAGGACAATCAACTAAAAGTTACTTTACAAATATCCTTTTTACACGTACTGCCGTGTGAAAAAATAAGATAAAAACATAGTTACCATTTTGAGGATTATTAACGCATGCACATAGAGTACTGCAGACTGAAGACCACAGTTGATAATATTGATTAATATTTTCATCTGACAGAGTTATCTCAGATATTGAAAGAGCTGTTCTGTTAAGAAAAAGCCAAATGTATTGACAAAGAGAAATCCTGTGCTAAATAGCCGGTATAGTAACAACAGCCTTGCTTATTTACCTGAATAACTGTAGAAGAACACCAATGCAGCCTGTTTCTCTGACGTGAGTTTGCCCACTCTCTATAAATGATCATATACCAGTATCAGGAAAAATATTTTTATATATTTTATGTGTGCGCGCGCACATAATAATATATATTTTATGTGTTTGCCTAGAGCCCAACAGAACAGAATTTATTGGGACTTTTGGGTACTATAACCATACAAATAATAATCAATACTAACGTTCTAGTGTTGTTTCTAAATTTCACTGTGAAATATGAGAAAAAATGTTTTTGTATTGTTTCATTAACAAATGCACCTGTTTCTGAACAAAAATATGTTCCCAAAAGCACATTTTGCTATTTTAATAATGAATGGTATATTTACAGTATTATTATGTAACCTCAAGTTAATTTATATATCAGAATTAATCTTTATATATCAAGCTATAATGGTACGGGCTGACAAACAATAATGTGTTGAAATGAGTTGCACACAATGTTATTACTTGGTGTTTTTATGAATAAAAGAAAAAAACACTTACTATTATTTGAAACCAATACTAAAACAACATATACAGACATTCTTTTCAAGTTTACACTGGAATCCTTATTCATTAAGAACAAAATGAGATCTTCAAACAATCCAGAAGCACACATATTTTGTTGGCAGTAAACTGAAACCAGGAAATAAATGGTATTACTTGTTAAAGTGTACAAATTGTAGAAGTATGAAACAATTCTATCTATAATCCGCATACTGGCTTTATTACAAGACTGACGAGAAAAAGTGATGAAGCACTGATACTTAATATCAGAGATATTTAAATACCTCTTATCAATGCTTACTTGTAAGAAGAATTTCCTTTCCTCTCCTCCTCTAGCTTATCTAGGAATAGGGCCCAGGCTGAAAAGTCACAGCTTAGCCTTTTTACTAAGCAGGAAGATGATAAATGCATTGACTACAATTTGGCCATTTTATGAAACAGAGTATTAACGCTCCATGAAAACTTCCTCCTCATTGCCCTAATTCAGAGGTTCTTGGAACCTGTTCCAACCTCTGGACATTATAAAGTTGTCTTATTGAGCAATGGTTCAATAAGTATTTATTTGGCAAGCACCTTTCTTGTTAAATTCTAGGTAGTGTCCTGCTTTCAGGCTCACTTTGAAGTTGCACTTTTGAGTAATTTCCCACTAACATGATAAAGTAACCTGCAAACCATGGACTAGATTCTGTTAAACCCAAAACGTGTTGAGCAAGGTTGAAGCTCAGGAGAGGGGCTGCAAAGTGGCTGACTGTTGCTACATGATCCTGGGTCTGGTTCTAGGCTATCATGTCCAAAGACATAACATACAATCTTACAGTAATTATACCAATGTGGGACTGAAACAGAGCAGGTCCCAGGTACAGCAATTACTTTGCCATGCCTTCTACATCAGTGTCTATCCCTTGTGACATACAGCAACCAAGCCACCCAAGGATTCTCACAACCCAGATGAATTTTCAAATGACGAGCTGAACTGTCTTTATGGCTGTCCTGTGCTTCCACAGTGGAACAAAATGGCAATGGAGGAATCAAGAATCTCACCCTAACAGTATTAAGCTGATCTATATTGTGGCCTGATAAATCTATCTGTAACTACATTCAACTATTTGATGATGAGATAAATATAAGTATAGAGTAAAATATGATACAATGCTTAGAAATACAAATAACAACTATATATTACCATTATTTTCAATTATAACTCCTAATGTAAATAAGGCAGCTTCCTTTACCATACAATGCATGCTTGACTTTGCAAGGTCGGTTATGAATGTCAAACCACCAATCTCTCGCAAATAATTACTTGCATCACCTGTAGTAAATGCAGACATTATAGAAAGAGGTAAATTTATCTTATGTACTCAAGTGACAATCCAAAAAACAATCAGTGCAGTATGGAATATATATTGCGTACAAGAAGACATGTCATCTTCTGTGTTTTTAAGGCTTCTAGATATACCTGTTTTAAAAAGTGACAAAGTGTAATATGTACTATGAAAATAAATAATGTTATTTTAATATTCAGAACCCCAGATAGAAATCTAATCCCCCAATTAAATTTTTGGGATAGACTGTCTCTTACTGTTTTGCTGACAGATTGAATAAATAGTGACCAAGGCCTCTTTTTGAGAAGTAGGGCTGTCCATTTGATATTTGAGACATTCAAGAAGCAAGTTCAGATCTGTCTTCATCTCTATGAGAATAAAACAAGATGAATTTCACAGAAATGTAGTGTTTCCTTTATAATTATTCTTTTCTTTTTTGTCGGTTACTCTTTTTCTTAAGGATGTTGAAAAAAATCATGGTACTATATTTTAAAAGAAAATCAAAGAGCAATGTAAGACTGAACTGTTTTTTCCCCATCTAGCAGTAATGTTGTGAACAGTCTTGTGTTTTTTATGAATGAAGACAACTTTTTTTTTTTTTTTTTTTTTTAACATTCTCCTTGCCTCCAGTTATAGAAAGACAGGGTAGAGTTGCACTTTACAGATTAACTGAATCAGAGCTGCAGGAGCTTTTGTCAGCAGCAGTTGACTGGGTTAGCTAACTACCTCTCTTCAATTATGCAGGTAGATTTCCTTGACTGCAAAGTTAATTTAAATCAGAAAATATGTATGAGGAGGGAGATGCAAGGTAAAAACCCAACTGATCTATGGAAATCAATTGTTTTTACATCCACAAAAGGATGCAGGCACTGTGACGTTGAGCATCTAGGCGCCCTATACAAGGAGCGTTGTTACATGCTTCATAACGGGATTCACACAACATTTAGGTGAGAAATACATATGCATTTTTGCAAATCCTACTAGCCACCTATCTACATCTGAACACTTCTGGGGCATACTACCAACAAGACTTTCTTCATAATTATTTTAAAACGTCCTGTATTTCCCTTATAACCCTCACAATGCTTTTCTAACTTCAAAGGAATACAGTTTGAGAAGTGACAGCAAGACAGAAATGTGCAAACAATAATTAGTGAAAAGGATGTAACCTTATGGGTTCCAGTCAAATGCCTGAATTTGACATTAACTTCATCTATTACCATCACTCTGTGTAAACCCAAAATGATAATATGATTAAAGGATCTCTTGAGGTCCTTTCCAGACTTACTTCTCTATGATTACTATAGCAGGGCAGGAGCAAATTCCTCCAATGGTTTGTGTTGCCCAACTCCCATAAATTTGCCAAAACAGCATAAAACAGATGGAGAACGTCACAAGCGGATCTAAAGATCTTACCACACTCCATCTTCTGCACTTCTAAGCTTTCCATTTTCTGTTGTGTTGCTCTGACCCTACAACTAGAAAAGTGATTTTCTTAACATTTCCAGCCAGCAACGTTCACAACGCACTCGCACAGCGCAGACTGAAAATACGCTGTGCTGGTTTTCATAAAATACACCTCTTCCAGCTGATTTGATGCTATTTGCAAATCTAATTTATATTTCAATCTACATTCAGTTGCTGCCTGTGTTAATCGGATTTGATAATCTGTTCAGGTCCCTTCTGACCGTGGAAACTATTACATTAACGTGTGCCGAAGATTTGCTGTGGAAATAATGCTGGTTGCAGCACCCGGGCACCGTACCAGGCCTCCAGCGAAAATTACCAGACTTGCAGCTCCCTGCCTGCCGCCTGGGGAGAAATCCCACTGGATCCGCACCACAAAATGTAACCCACGAAGGCGCGGTCCTGGGCCAGATGTCCACCTTCTGCTTCCTCTGTGCAACATCCCCCCCCCCCACACACATTTACTTCCTACCTACAGGGACTTTTAACCGTCTCTCGCTATCCCTGAGCCTGAAAGCTGACAGAAAAAGGTCTTTTATTTTTGTTGCCAGTTCTCAGTCGGTCTCATAAAAGGCATCGTATCTCCGAATCAACAGTTTTAAGACTTTTTTGCAATTTTTGTGGCCTGTCTTTGGACACCGCGTCAGAGGAGTCTCTAGGTAACACCAGCCCTGCCCCGTGAACACAAGGGAACGGGGTCAGTTTCCTCCCTCAGCCCTGCCCCATTTCGTCCCCCGGG